CATCCCAAAGTGCCCAAATCCCCAAATCCCTCGGTCCCACCATCCCCAAACCCCCCAAAACCCCCCAAATCCCCGATCCCCAAATCCCTCTCGGCGCCCAAAGCCGAATCCGCGTCTGACTCAGCCCCAACCGCCGCAATTAAAAACCCCAACCGGGGCCCCTTTTTTTCATCTCCCCTCCTCCCCCTTTTCCCGATAAACATCTGCAAACTCCCGAAAATCCTCGGCGCCGTCGGGAATGTGGGATTTAATTGGATTTAATTTTATTTTGATTTTCTTTTTTTTTTTTTCCCTTCCCCCCATTCCGGACGGGGAAGCTCCGACCGGTCCCGGTTCCCGTTCCCGTTCCCTCCCGCGCCCGCGGGGATTTTTGGGATCCTCCCCTTTTCCTCTCCCTTTTTATTTCCAGCCCTTCCTTCTCTCGATCCTTAATTTTTTTTGGAGCCTCCCGGAGCTGCTGCTTCTCCTCCTCCTTTTCCTCTTCCCAGGAATTTTTTATTTTTTGGAATGATGGAAGCGAAATCCTTCCCTCCGCAGGTGAAATCCGGCGCAGGTAAGAGGCTCCGCTGCTTCCAAAAGGAGAAAATTTGGGAATTTTTGCCKCTCGGCTGCTTCCCGAATTTTTCGGGAACGGGAATTTGGGATTTCGTGGCTCTGACAGGCAGAAAACATTGGGATTTTTTTCCCTTTTCCCAAAAAATTGGGATTTTTTTTCCTTTTTCCTAACCCCAAATAGATTTTTTTCCGTTTTTCCAAATCCCAAATAGATTTTTTCCCCATTTTCCAAATCCCAAATTGATTTTTTTTTCCATTTTTCAAACCCCGAATTGATTTCCCCCCTCCGTTTTCCAAACCCCAAATGGGATTTTTTTTTCTCATTTTCCAAACCCCAAATTGATTTTTTTCCCTTTTTCCAAACCCCAAACGGATTTTTTTTTTCCCAATTCCCAAACCCCAAAAGGTGGGGAATTGTCTGTCCAGGAGAAGGAATTTTTTATGTCGCATTCCCAAAAAATCCCAGGAATATTTCGGGATTTGGATTATTTAAAAAATTTCTGAGGATAATTTGATTTTCTCGCTCGAAATTTGGGATTTYCCCCGGATTTTTTCTGCCCTAAATCCCGATTTATGGGGTTGGATTTGCAGGGAAAAATCCAAGGAAAAAGGAGGAGCTTTCCCAATCCCTCCGGTGGGAGAAATTCC